TTTTTTGGTACGGGCGCTGCCATCGTGCACAGAAATAGCAACTGTACACATCCAGTCCACAAAAAGGGCTTTAAACTTGCAGGTTACTGCTCTATTATGCAAGCAGAACAGTACGCCATCTACAAAGCATTGGTCTACATCAACAATTCCAATCAGCTCCGCGGGAAGCAGGTCTGCATCTGCTCTGACAGCCAGGCCGCTCTCTGGAGCATAAGCAAGAAAACCCAGCGTAACCATCTCCACCAACTCATCACAGACGAACTGAAGAAACGCAAAAGCAACCTCGTCTACTTTTCGTGGACCCGCGCCCATCAAGGTGTAATAGGAAATGAGGAAGCAGATGTGCTGGCTAAGGAGACAGCTACTTCTCCTGTTACACCAAGCTTTGATGACATCCCAACCGTGGCTGTCAAGAATATCATCAGAAAAACGCTCATCCACATGTGGCAGAGGGAATGAAAAGAAGCAAACACTGGTAGGACTACCATTAAATTCCTGCCTAACATTCCCAACCGTCTCTCTCTCAACCACATATATGGCAATTATTTCACCAGCCAACTCCTCACTGGCCATGGGAACTTTCGCCAATATCTCAATATATTTCATCACAGCGATACCCCCTTCTGTCAGTGTGATAGTGGCGCTATAGAGGATCCCCTGCACTTCATCTTTGAATGCAACCTCTATGACACACAGAAAACTCAACTTATTCACAAAGCCCTCATTGAAGGATTCAACTGGCTTTGCACGCCCGATCAACAACAGCGCCACCTACAACGGACTTACCGAATTTATCCGGGAAACCGGCGCTTTAAATCCAGACTTCACCAACCGAAATCAGACAAGGGACTCTTCACAAGACAGTTGACCTCTACACCAGGGGCCTTAATATAACCGACAAAACATGCACCCGTTTGTAACTATCACCACTTTCAACTCTGGTATTTATAATTGTTCTATAACCACAAATTTTTTCTTTCATATGTAACGCGGCATAACTATGTGTACACTCTTTCTTTTTGCATCCTGCACATGTATCCTGCTATTTAAATTACTGTGTTGTTCGCGCTGACGATCTCTCTCATCTTCACCATCTTTCCTATCACACTTTCACCCCCCTCATCCATTACCCCTCCTTCTTTTTTTTTCACCCAGGTGATACCCCTGAGTAGTCCTGGTCTTCCGCCCCTTTCATTAAAAATAAAAAATAAATAAATAAAAATAAGAAATGCTTCTTTCACAAGAAATGTATAAAATTACAGTACTGTATTAGACTTACGGTACCTAATTTACATACTGTAGAGACGATACACGATAGTAAACTCAACTTACCCGCCTAAACGGCCTCCGTAGCGTGGCGCTAGACGGCCTAAAGTATATATATAATTATAATAAAGTTACAATAAATTAAGATAATATATAATTATATATACAGTACTGTACCTAATTTATATATAATTAATATATAATTATATGTAGAGTACTTAATTTATATATAATTTACATATAATACTGTATAGACGATAGCAAACTCAATTTACCCGCCTAAATTCTTCGTAGCGTGGCGCTGGACGGCGAAAAGTAGTTCGGCTGCTCATCCACTATTAGTCCAGATTCCACGAATCGTTTTACGAGTCCCTTTATACGAATACTGCCGCAATTTTTTCGCTACGTTATAGGAATTTCCGTTACAGGAACTCACGTTATAGGGGGGTCTACTGTAATTAGAATTAATGCACACTTTGGTAAGTAGATAGCAATTTTTGCATCAGGCCCCTTTCAGAAACATTACATTATTTGGCAAACAAGTATAAATGTTAACTTTCAAAATGTAATGGCGCATTTTATTGATTGTTTATTCTCGCAGATTATACTTTCATGTTGCCTGTATTTAATATTAAATTCTGTATTTAAGTAACATCGAAACATAAATGTGTATTGGCTATATAATTGTTAAACTTAAATGAACTTGTATTTTTCACTTGTTTAAAACTCATGATAATAAGATAATGTATTTATTCTATAAAATTATAAACATATATATAAATATGTGTAGACGTCATGCTAATTAAAGTTTGAAAAAGCGAATCAAATGCAGGAAACAAGTATCAGAAAAAGAACTTAAGTGATGTTTTTCTGTTTTCCTCACACGAGTGACACTTAAAAAATATGCAGGTACATCACGCTATATTTTTTGTGCGAGCAAAAATACCCTCATTATAGCTCAATGACCACTCACGACTGCACCCTTTATTAGATTATTTCTTCTACAGTAATGTCAATCAAAATAGGAACAACAAGTTATCCATATTATTCATGATGTTGGTTGAAAGTTTACTTCAGGCTNTATATTTTTTCTTAAATTCACAGTAAATATATGAAATTTTAAATACAGAAATATCATATTCATATGTATAATATTTTTCAGAATCTTTTCAGATACAGAGAGAATCTTTAATGTATTATTACAGCACTAAAAATGCTTACTTGAAATCTTTGTTGTGGAGTGAAAAAAGCAAAGACTTTCCCTTAACAGATTACTTCATCGAACTTACTGTTCAGGAAGCAGATTTCTTATGTAAAAAAGCAGGAGAAACTATTCAGTTTACACAGATTTTTCCAAAATCAATAAATAGACATGTTGTAATGTTAGTCACTGGTGATCCCGGTTATGGCAAAACTACCTTTTGTAAAAAAATAGCCTACGATTGGGGTACCGATACATCCCGTACCGATTATTTAGGACATTATGATTTTACTGTGGTCATTAGTTTGCGAGAATTAGAAAAAAAAAGTATAACAGTTGAAATTCTCCAACGTATCAGTGAAAATACAGATTCCAATTCTATAGATAAGTTAAGACAAAGAGGATTAAATTTATTAATTATTCTGGATGGATTCGACGAAACAGATGATAAAGATTCAATTATACATTTCATTGAAAAAGATTCATTCCGTCTTTCTGAAGCAATGACAATTCTTGTAACTTGTCGTCCTCACGCTGCCGAAAATATAAGAGAATACGCACATATGAGATTCATTATTCAAGGATTTTCACAACAGCAGAAAGAGAAGTATATTNTTCACAGAAGTAGTGTTTAAATTAGTAAGCTTAAATTTTTTAAGTATAATTAGAACTACAGGAATATTATATTCATATGTATAATATTTTTCAGAATCTTTTCAGATACAGAGAGAATCTTTAATGTATTCTTACAGCACTAAAAATGCTTACTTGAAATCTTTGTTGTGGAGTGAAAAAAGCAAAGACTTTCCCTTAACAGACTACTTCATCGAACTTACTGTTCAAGAAGCAGATTTCTTATGTAAAAAAGTAGGAGAAACTATTAAGTTTACAGAGATTTTTCCAAAATCAATGGATAGACATGTTGTAATGTTAGTCACTGGTGATCCCGGTTATGGCAAAACTACCTTTTGTAAGAAAATAGCTTACGATTGGGGTACCGATACGTCCCGTACCGATTATTTAGGACATTATGATTTTACTGTCCTCATTAATTTGCGAGAATTAGAGAAAAAAACTATAACAAATGAAATTCTCCAACGTATCAGTAAACATACAGATTCCAATTCTAGAGATAAGTTAAGACAAAGAGGATTTAACTTATTAATCATTCTGGATGGATTCGACGAAACAGATGATAAAGATTCAATTATGCATTTCATTGAATTAGATTCATTTCATATTTCTAAAAAAATGACAATTCTTCTTACTTGTCGTCCTCACGCTGCCGAAAATATAAGAGAATACGCACATATGAGATTCATTATTCAAGGATTTTCACAACAGCAGAAAGAGAAGTATATTAAATTAGTTATTAATGATGATAACGGCACGCGAGATGAACTTTTAAACTTGATAAAATTCAATGGTTTCTATTGTGCCTTAGCTGAATGTCCATTAATGTTGCATATGTTATGCTGTCTACCACAAACGAAATACTTTCACAAAATACAAACAAAGACAGATTTGTTCATTCAAATCTTTCGTCTGGTAATAAAAAGATATATGAGAAAAATGGGAGTAAAACATAATTTAGTAGAAGGAAAGTTTTTCTACGGAGAAGACTTACTAGTTAAATTGGGAGAAATATATCTGGACGAAAGATCCAAAATGAGTAAAATGGATAAGCCCGTATTTATGTACGAGATTCAAAAATTGCTAACATTAAAAGATAAACAGTTAAAGAAGAAGTTTCCAGAAGAAAAAGACTATGAATTTATATTAGGACTAGATATTTTTGCAAAGTATTCTGAGGTAAATGGAATTAGTTGTTTTGATTTTATACATAGAAGCTTTTTCGATTTTATTATTGCTCTTTGTTATTATCATTCGATACAAATTGATCGAGATAGTGCCTACGATTTGACAATTTTATCGTTTCTCTGCGGTCTTTATGAAGATAAAGAATTTTCAAATGAATTTATATACACTATTTCAGAGAATATTCACTCTCTTTCAATTTGGCTTGAATGTGTTAATGAAATTAAAAACATAACGAACAAACAATTATTCTGTTCAAATGCTAAAATATATTTTGATTTTTGCTCCTTAAATATGAGGACAATTTTATTTGAGCAAAGTTCCTCACAACTTTCTCAAATTTATTTTCTTTTTCCGGACACAAAACATTTTTACGAAGAAGTTAGAAAAACACTAATAGACATACACCACATTTACAAAAATCCTGATAAATTGGAGATATTTCTACTTTTGGATAAAAGTATTAAATTTGTTAAAGGTGAGGATAGCCTTAAAAGTGAAGCTTTTCCTGAAAAGATTCCTAACATTTGTGATATTCGTCAGTCCGTATGTCTCATTAAAAATTTAATAAATAGTTTTAAATGGGATAAATTAAAAATTTTTTTTACTGGTGTACTTGTCCTGAAATGTATTAATTGCCCTGTTCTACATAACAACATGTATAATTTTTTCAAAGATGTCGAGAATCCTGCAGTAATTCCAAAAGATCCTAAACTGAAATTACATAAAACAAGTAAAAATCTTGTTGCTTTGCTTAGTAATAATAAATTCATTGGAGAAGTCAAATACTTGATTTCTACTGAACAATATTTGAGTCTTAAAGATAATATCAAGCTATCATCTGATGATAAATGAACAGTAAATAGCAAACAAGAAATAATCTTTAAGGCATAAACTATATTTGTATTGTTAATATAATCATTGTGTAATTTAAAATGTTATATAATCACGTTTCCTGAATTAATTTATGATCAATATTTTCTACAATAAAAATAATTAATGTACTATAATTACCTTTATAATAACAAAATAAAATCCAATGAAAACATTTTTATCTAGTCAATTTTTGTATTAATATAACCTCTAATGTAAAATTGTAAAATGTAATAAATTTAAAAAAAAAAATGTATTAGTTAGGTAAATTCTTATAAATGATATCATGAATTTATTTTTA